AGTCATCCCTGAAAGGCTTCATAAATATTCCAGCTCTGCTGTTTTCCTTTAGTTTTATATAGAGCTTCAGGATGTCCTTTATACAGATGGATACATACAACAGAAATTAAATGTCCTATCAGTTGACTGGCCTGTTATAGTAAATTCAATCAATAATATCAACACATCTGTATCATACCATCAGTAGTATTGTACAGCAAGAAAGTTTTATCATCAACAATAGAAATGTTGTGGAAAACCCCATAAATTACAACAAACTTTTGTCGAAGGTTTACGCTATCACTAAATTTATAAGTCTTTCTAAAAAATAATGAACAAAAGCCGTGATAGAAGCATTTATGAGTAGAAAAAAAGTATTCACAAACCTTACCAGCCTACATTTAGACTTTCTTCGCCATCTGGATGTTGTCATTCATGCTGACTTTATTTATGCTGTGTGGTTTCAGAGCTGTCAAATAAATAAAAATCACTTCAGATCATCAGAACTGTTGGATATAATTATGTGATCTGTGACTCGTTCACACCGGAGCTCCTGGCCCATCTGTCTTTATTGACAGTGATACTGTAGCAGTAATCCTGTTTTCAGACAAACGCCAGTGAAGCAAGCAGCTTTTTTTTTTTTTTTTTTTCTTGGTTTAATATATTGAGTCATCATTTTCATTATCTCCTTCGTTTTAGGCTTTCAACCATCATTTCTGCCTGAGAGAGCCGGGCTCAGTAAACAATAACGTACTCTGCATCCCTAAAGCACATTGTTTAAGATTATTTCGCATTATCTCTATCCTGTTAGATAGCATGCAGACAAAGGAGATGAGAAACAATGGTACAAATAAAAAAAATAGAAACAAAGTGAAATACTGGCATTAAACACTATTCCAGTGTCTCTACATCAGATAAACAGTGAACCAAATTGAGCCTTATACATTATAAAACCCCTATAGTTCTTAGTGACCAAAACATAACCAATCTTATTGTACTCTCATAAATACCAATTTTCCACTTTTTTAAAACTCACTTTTCTGATGAACTGAGGACTTATCAGGGTTCAGTCAGACTGGTCAATTATACAAAGTGAAATTAGAAATTGCTTTGGTGAGAACTACAGAAACATATTTATTTTGGTTTCAATAAATCAAAGAACATTCTAATATAACATTGATAACATTGTGAATAGTAAAACTTTAAGATGCATTGTGTAGTCTGCAAAGCCTGCAACTTATCCAAGAAAATAGTTTTCTTTGTTTGAAAAAGTTCTTATTACAGAAATACAAGATAGATCTTTTGCAAATCTTGGCTTCAGTGAAAGTATCAATGCAAGGCTGAAACATTGGATGTGCCCTGCCATTTATGCAATTGCCACAAAAGAAATCTCCAGCTGCATGTCACCAAAAGGTGCTAAAGGTAATTAAAGCCTAAACACTCACATAATAAAATGTTATGTATTTGTGTGACCTCAGAAGTTTTTATTATTTTTTTTATCTTTTTAAGATAGCATGGTTTATGCTATGATGAAAAATAACTGGAAACAAAACAAAGAATTCTCCATTGCTTTGTCATATTTTATGCCTAATATTCACATTTGGAAACTTTCTAGTCAATTCCAGTTCAGTCAAGTTGATTATTTAAAGTGGTACCTATACAGTGAGCATATAATCTATTTTCACTAAGGGTGACGAAGCACAAAATAAAGGAAATAATTCAGCCTGACTGAATCACTGTGTTTACTGTGTGCAGAAGGCCTATCGCATATGTACATAGCTAATATGAAGGAAAGAAAAAAACCGTTGTAACATCTCACAGCAGGTCACCAACTTAATTGGATGAAAGCGTACAGACTACATGGACAAATAGTGATTCTAATTATGAATAATGGCCCCTCTCTGCAACGTTTTGGTGCTTTAGTAACATTAAAAGATTCAGATAATCTAGCTAAAGTGCAATAAGAACAATCAGTATGTGGTTGTGATCTTTGGTCCCTTGTACAGCATCAATTTGACGAACAGAATAATGTTTAAGTCTGTACATTAAACAAAATCTTTTCTCAAAAGATAATTGCATAAAGTGTAAGCTTTAGGAATAGACACTGGCATGAATATTTAATAATACTACTACTTAAATGACCACTGGAATGTAGTGTAAAATCATAACGTAACAGTGTAGATGTACAAGCGTGTCATGTGAGGTCTTTGAAGAGATGGGCTTTCGTCAAAGTACACTGATATAGTTTGAGGGGCTTGTTCCACCAGCTTGAGACTCTCAAACACTCGTCACTGGTTCTCTCAAATTTAAACTTGATTAATATGTCCAGCTCATGTGTTCCTCTCTCTTTACTCATGTGCACATAAATTAAATCCAGTACAACTATTCATCATCCAGGTTTACCAAATTAGTAAATCAATTTGTTATCAAACATTCTGTTGATAATTCTCTGTCTAAATGCAATTATTCTGCATAGGCCTCAAAGGCTTCTTGGAAAACATTTGTGAAAAAATGGATTATGAAGACTGAGGAGCACAGTAGACAGGTTAGGGGTAAAGTTTTGGAGACTGAAGTCGAGTAAGATGAGGTATCAATAACCCAAACATTAAAAATCTCAAAGTATTGTGAAATCCTACATTTGAAAAGAAAAAAATTTAGGGGTATCCAACTCCAATCCATGCACTTGTTCCAAAGCTGGGGAAGTGAACTAAATGCAGGGCCACCAATATAAAAAAATAAAATAATAATAATAATAAAACATTTAAGAGACTGTAAAACACTTCAGACAGACTCCAAACATACAACTTGGACTGCCTAGACTTTCATCTGATTAAGAATATTTGGCAATGCTGGAATTTTTTATTGAGTGTTATCTTCTACTCTGTACAATTTCTGAAATATAATCTTATAAAGAAAAACATTGCATCAAAAAAGATCACCATGTCCAGCACCAAAGGTTGGATGGTTTTTCTGTCAGATGATTGATTTTTCAAGTGGTTAAAAATGTAACTAACATATCTATTACAAAATTGTATTCAATGTCTATGTGCCAAAGAGCTCAGTAATAATATGCAGCTGTGAAATATTTTTACCTCTGTTAATTTTCTTGACCCTGGATTTTCTCAGAAGCGTCATATCCGGAGACAGGTTTTGATAAAGGTGCACCTGGTTGTGTGTGTGTGTGTGTGTGTGTGTGTGTGTGTGTGTGTGTGTGTGTGTTTCTATGTGTCTGTGTGTGATATAGAATGTATCTGGGTTAATTCAAAGAGTAATGTGGGGTCTGTATTGCTGGAGGCATATGCCATGCATCCCACGTGCCTGACTTCCAAATGAATCAAGGCTTTTCCACAGTGTTGATGCCACTAGCGAAGAGCATAGTGCTTTTTCAAACACTAAATATTACATCAAATAAGCCTGGCTGTGTCTCTGCCTGGTGTCAGTAGTGAAAGTAAAATCATTTTTTTCAGCCTAGCAAAAACCTCTATTGCTGATTGTGAAAAGTCTACTCCAGGGTTTCTATATTTAGACACCCGTCTGGTTTGCAATATTTTGCACATAAATTTTGAGGTCATCTATGCATGAAAGTTGGCTTGCTTGCAGCTGACAAACATTTATATGCAGGTTCTATTTTCCTCAGACACCTAAAGAATATTGAATGGTTTAAAAATGTGAGTTTTGTCTGCCTGAATACAGAATAATGTATTGCAATGTGCGTGAGGTCTTATTGTCCTTGAAGCATTGAGCGTCAGCAAACACTTCAGCACCCTGTAGACAGCTGCTTAACCAGCGATGAGAGAGATTGTTCTAACATGCAGTGTATGCAATAAATGTGATGAGTCCCAGACTGTTGGGTAGACTTAGTATACAGTGACGGATGTACTTTATATCTATATTGAAAACACCAGGTCTGTGTTACCCTCTTCTTTATGTCAGTTCAATTATTTGTTTTATTAAGATCCGATAAACAGCATCCATGATAAACAGAATATCATGGATGCTGTTTGCTCATCGTAATTAAATAACCAAACGTAACTAAAATCACATTAATAAGTTTGTTCATACAATAAGCGATAAAAAAAACATGCTGTCATTATCGTCCTACCACTTTCTGTCTTCTTCATCTGCCAGTCGTAGCATTCAGTATGAACTGAATTGCATGGCGTTTCCATTGCAGTTTTGCGAAATACACTATTTATACAATTGAATAGCATGCTTTTTTTTAATTGGTGTGTTTCCATTAAGCGCATATATTTTCATAATCCTAATTATACATGGCCAATGGAAACACAGTTATAATTGTTCTCTCAATACTGTTGAATTAAAGTCAACAGTTAAATCCTTCCTTTGAGAAAACTAATATTGACATGTTTCTTGCTTTTTCTTCATGCAACATGTTTGCTATCCCCAAAAGCAGATCAGTAAAACCTGAAGTTGGCAATGTAGGAAAAATACAAGCAACTAATAGTTTTTTTGTTGGCTCTGAAAGCTCAGAGTCTTCTTAAATAAACATTCCTAGCTCTAAGGCCCAAAGCATCCTTTTCATGAGCTTTTGGCTGCCACACTGAGCATACATGATGCTGCATCAAGCTATTGCTTTTGTAGTTGTGGAGTCTAAATACAGTATATGTCTGATACTGCAAACTCAATCGGATCAGGGCCTCCAGAGGTTCTGTTTGGGTTATAGACTCCTAACGGCCATTGTAATGTTTAGTTACTGGAGATTCGTAGTTGTAATAGAGCCTGGTACCTGTCTGTGTTTTTGCTAAGCAGTGGATTACTCATCAAACTGCTGTCTACGCTAACCTGGTGCTCACAATCCATCACTGCAAAGCAGTCCACCCACTCAGTGATTCTAACAGAAGCACACAGTTCAAACTCCATAGCAAGTCTCATTCATTCAGAAAAAAGGTTGCTAATTAACATTAGGACTTCTAGTTTGTGAGCTAGAGTTGGATTCTGTGATGTATTTTTTATTTTTTATTTTTTATTTTTTACCAGTGTTTCATGCTTGTTTTCAACAGATTGAGAAGATCATGACGTTGATTGGGGCTGGCATTGAAACAACAAAGAACCAGCATCCCAAGCCAAGCACAGGTAATTCTTATTTTTAATAAAGCATAGTTTCAATTTATGTTAATTTCTAAAAAGCCCAGCTTTATGGGTAAGCTGCTGTAAACCGTTACAGTGCTTTAGTCTTAGCGCTTTATAGTAACGTTTATCAAAGTGATAGAAAAATATGTCTTACAGCTAGAAGGTCAATTCAAGATGTGTGCATATTTATGTGTATGTACACTTAAACATAATCTAACTTGTGACAAATTTGGGCTCGTTTTCCAGTATTAAAGCAGATGTATAGAATGGATGTGTTGTTTTTCTGACTCGCTGGGAATTAAGCTGACATTCATCTGACAGCTCATTGTTGCCAATTGTAACTAGCAAGCTTCCCCTTTATGAAAAATACATAATTTTAAATTCCCCACTGTCATTTTCTCCCCAGTTGATTTATATTTTAATAGTTTGATAGTGGGCTTCAGTGAGTGTCCTTCAGGCGGTGCAGAGGGAGAGGCCAGCTGGCACCAGCTCAGTGTGTTTAGGTTACACTGTCAGCTTTCTCCATTAGATACTTTCCTATAAGGAGGTTTCATCTTAGTACATAACAGCTTTTCTCTGCATAGGACTGTTTTTTACACAGATTGGCTTGGACAAAATTTTCATCAGTTATGCGCGGTGTTCTTTATGGGCCACAGCAAGGTATGGCAAGTTTTAAGGGACCAAGAAACGACAAAAGATGGCAGTAAATTTCATTGAATGCATAGATATACAAATATTGAAATAAGAGGACTGGGTCTTTACAAAACCTTCATTCTTTTCAAGACTTTTTAATACTAGCCCATCACTGTTGGAAGTTTGCATTGGTGTATTCTCTTAATAATTTGTCTTTGGGTTTTTAACAAACATGCTATAATAAACATGTATTTATAACCAATAGATGTGGTTTCATGAGTCTTGTAGCTCATTCCAACACAACTTTTCAAGCCTAAATGCTCTCAAGTCATCAAACTCGTTATTCACTCACACAAGAAGAAATTGCGTCATTGTTGTGCTTGACACCATGTATGGGTCAAACTATTTCACACAGAGCTGAAAAAGTTTGTGGGCATCTTTCATGAAGAAATGCGCTCGGATAGCAATGTTGATATTGGGAGAGGTGTCCCCAGGTGGTCTGCACCATGTGTGAAAGGTTTGTGAGAATACTAGAGGTTGACTGCTTGACATCAGGTCACATGTGTCAAACTCAATGACATGTTATTTTATGTGGCCTGCCCCAGCATTTTATATTTTTGGACCCTTATTTATTGTAAAGTGTTGAACCCTTATTTATTTTCAAGTGTTGATTTTATTTTTGAACCATTTTTTAATTGTAAAGTGTTGATTTTATTTTTGAAACCTTATTTATTTTGAAGTGTTGTTTTTATTTTTGAACCATTTTTTAATTGTAATGTGTTGATTTTATTTTTGAAACCTTATTTATTGTAAAGTGTTGATTTTATTTTGAACCCTTATTTATTTTGAAGTGTTGATTGAAAGACCTTAGACGTGAATTGACCAGTATGGGTATTGAACCGATGACCTCAGCATTGCCAGCACGGTGCTCTAACCTGCTGAGCTAACTCACCTACCTTACAAATTGTTGAGCTTCCATGGATTTATGAAGAGTGCTTATATTCTAATGTTTTTCAAAACAACATACATAATATTTTATTTTCCAGAGATTTTGTATTTGAAAGTGTTGATTGTATTTTTGAA